CACTGCGATTGCAGGACAATACAACAGCATTGAGAAGCATGATTTCGTTCAAGAAATTCCGCGTGACACGCGGCGCAGTTGTGTGTATTACGCACACGTGTGCACGCGACAGTCGATCTTGATCAGTCCCCTACGAAATCAATTATCACTCCATTCCCTCGAAATTACCGTTAATGCCAATGCCTGTCGGATTACGACGTGCGCGCAAATTTCCAAAAAAGCGCAAAAGTTTTAGGTACCGGCGTCGACATAAGCGGCTTAACAGCGCGTGCCCGCGCCAGCTGGTTTAATCGATCTATCGAAAACCCATCTCTCCGGGTATCGCATACATTGAAGCGCGCAGGAGGCACTAATCCCATAAATACCGAAATTATACGCACGGTGAGCGGCTTTTGCCGAAAGAACGAAAAGATTCACGGGCAAGATTCACATCTGACGTTGTACGTAGATTTTCCGACGAATAACATGCGACCTTTAGATATAAATACCATCGTAGACCGCATTTTTGTGTACTAAATCTCTAATAAGATACGTAGATAATATTTGTAACGATTTATTTTTATCTAAAAAAGAATTTTTAATATAACAAGATCCGATTCATCTTTCAAAATAAAAAAAATTTTAGATAATTATTTAGTATTATTGCAAGAATTTATCTGATGTTTACAAGTTACACGTATACACACGCACGTTTAATATTATAGATATTATTTGATTAAATTAAATATTAATTAAAATCGGAATTATATTGAGTTTGGGATTTTATTACTGTCTAATAAATATGCTCAATGCGTAAAATTGTCGAGTGGAAATATGTTTTTACTACATATTTGTCACATATGCATTCACACCCTAATGATATTTCTCGTGTGTATCGAATAGCGGCAGATAATAGCAAATTGTAGGCATGCATCGAAAGAAGCATTCTTTTGAATGCATGTCTTCTGTTTTCAATAAAGAAGTGTATTTTTTTCTTCCGTTTTAGATTCTCTAGACATCTTACACTTTGTCTTTTTAAAAGGAAGTCTATAATAAAATAAAATCACATAGCTTTTTTTATGTGTAGAAAAATTTACGTGGAACAAAAATGTGGAAAGAAAATTTTGCACACGTACACTATAAAAGTTGCAAGTTTAGCGTAATAAATGAACCAAATTAACATATTTTACACATTTTTTTATTTTTTTCTTTTCATTTACATGCGACTTTTACTAGTGTAAAATAGCTGATTCATTAAAATGCTAAATGCTAGTAATAAAGTCTGAAACCGCGTTAGGACTGCACCAGCATTCACAGATTTGCTAGACAGAGAGAGAGAGAGAGAGAGAGAGAGAGAGAGAGAGAGAGAGAGAGAGAGAGAGAGAGAGAGAGAGAGAGAGAGAGAGAGAGAGAGAGAGAGAGAGAGAGAGAGAGAGAGAGAGAGAGAGAGAGAGAGAGAGAGAGAGAGAATAACTTCGTATAGCATACATTATACGAAGTTATACG